TAACATGTTTCGCCATCCTCACTTCTAACAAGGATTCTGGCTGTACTTCTTCCAAGACAGATTTGTTCACTCTTTTGGCAGTCCATGGTATATTCAGTATTCTTCACCAGCCCCACAACTCAAAGGCACCAATTTTTCTTTGGTCTTCCGTATTCAATGTCCAGCTTTCTCATGTATATGAGGTGATTGAAAACACCATGGCTCGGGTCAGGCACACCTTAGTCTTTAAATGGACATCTTTGCTTTTAACACTTTGAAGAGGTCTTTTGCAGCAGATTTGCCCAATGCTATACGTCATCTGATTTCTTCATTGCTGCTTCCATGGGTGCTGACTGTAGATCCAAGTAAAATGAAATCCTTAACAACTTCAATCTTTTCTCCATTTATCATGATGTTACTTATTTGTCCAGTTGTGAGGATTTTTGTTTTATGTTGAGGTGTAATCCATATTGAACCCTGTGGTCTTTGATCTTCATCAGTAAGTACTTCAAGTCCTCTTCACTTTCAGCAAGCAAGGTTGTGTCATCGGCATAATGCAGGTTGTTAATGAGTCTTCTTCCAATCCTGATGCCGCGTTCTTCTTCATACAGTCCCACTTCTTGGATTATTTGCTTAGCATACAGATTGTATAAGTATGGTGAAAAGATACAACCCTGATGCACACTTTTCCTGATTTTAAACCCGCAGTATCCCCTTGTTCTGTTCAAATGACTGCCTCTTGGTCAATGTACAGGTTCCTCATGAGCACAATTAAGTGTTCTGGAATTCTGATTCTTCACAATGTTATCCATAATTCGTTATGATCCGCATAGTCAAATGTCTTTGCATAGTCAATAAAACACAGGGAAACATCTTTCCGGTATTCTCTGCTTTCAGCCAAGATCCATCTGACACCAGCAACGATACCCCTTGTTCCATGTTCTCTTCTGAATCTGGCTTGAATTTCTGGCAGTTTCCTGTCAATATACCGCTGCAACTGTTTTTAAATTATCTTCAGCAAAACTTAACTTGTGTGTGATATTAATGATATTGTTCGATAATTTCCACATTCTGTTGGATCACGTCTTTAGGATGGGCAAAAATATGAATTTCTTCTAGTTGGTTGGCCAGGTAGCTGTCTTCCAAATTTCTTGGCATAGACAAGCGAGCACTTCCAGCGCTGCATCCGTTTGTTGAAACATCTCAATTGATATTCCGTCAATTCCTGGAGCATTGTTTTTCACTGGAGCCCTGGTCACCAATGCCTTCAGGGTAGCTTGGACTTCTTTCTTCAGTACTGTTGGTTCTTGATCATATGCTACCTCCTGAAATGGCTGAATGTCGACCAGTTCTTTTTGGTACAGTGACTTTGTTCCATCTTTTGATTCTTCCTGCGTTGTTCAGTATGTTGCTCACAGACTCCTTCAATATTGCAACTGGAGGCCTGAATTTTTCCTTCAGTTCTTTCAGCTTGAAAAATGCCAAGTGTGTGCTGCCTTTTTGGTTTTCTAACTCCAGGTCTTTGCACATTTCATTACAATACTCTACTTCGTCTTCTTGAGCTGCCCTTTGAAATCTTCTGTTCAGCTCTTTTAAGTCATCACATCTTCTATTCACTTTAGCCACTCTACATTGAAGAGCAAGTTTCAACACCTCTTCTGACAACCAGTTTGGTCTTTTCTTTCTTTTTTGAATAACCTTCTGCTTTCTTCATGTATGATGTCCTTGATGTCATTCCACAACTCATCTGATCTTTGGTCATAAGTGTTCAATGCGTCAAATCTATTCTTGAGATGGTCTCTAAATTCAGATGGGATATATTCAAGGTCATACTTTGGCTCTTGTGGACTTGTTTTAATTTTCTTCAGGTTCAACTTGAACTTGCATATGAGCAATTAATGGTCTTTTCTGCAGTCAACCCCTGGCCTTGTTCTGACTGATGATATCGAGCTTTTCCATCGTCTCTTTCCACAGATGTAGTCAATTTGATTCCAGCGTATTCCATCCAGTGAGATCCATGTGTATAGTTGCTGTTTATGTTGTTGAAAAAAGGTATTTGCAATGAATAAGTCATTGGTCTTGCAAAATTCTATCATACAATCTCTGGTGTCATTTCTATCACCTTGGTCATATTTTCTAACTGCTGATCCTTCTTTGTTTCCAACTTTCACATTCCAATCACCAGTAATTATCAATACATCTTGATTGCATGTTTGATCAATTTTAGACTGCAGAAGTTGGTAAAAATCTTCAATTTCTTCATCTTTGGCGTTAGTGGTTGGTGTGAAATTGAATTAACAGCCATATTAACTGGTCTTCCTTGTAGGCATGTGGATATTATCCTATCAGTGACAGTGCTGTAATTCAGGATAGATCTTGAAATGTTCTTTTTGACAATGAATATGATGCCATTCCTCTTTAATTTTTCATTCCTGGCATGACAAGTTGTTTTTAGTTGATTCCTTTTTGTTGTTTTTAGTTGATTCCTTTTTGTTGTTGTTCTTATGACATGATATACATAACTCAGGTTTGGAGTTTTAATTAAGGTTGATGACATTATTAGAGCTCATTAGTTTTAAGAGGTTAAGAAATCAAAGGCATAAACCCAGTTTGAGGTGATATTCCCCTCAAACTAGTTTATTTTCCTATTTTAGCTGTGAAGAGTAGAGCAACACATATCTCAAAGCTGAGCAAGGAAGAGAATTTTCTCCCTAACGCCTGTGGAAATGGAAGCTGAATGACCTTCATCCTCTCAACTGCTTTCATGGAACTGCCCCCAACGTCCCACCACCTGAGTCCAAGCCAGGAGTCCCTGGGTGGCACAATCGGTTAAGCACTTGACTACTAACTGAAATGCTGGCAGTTTGAACCTACCCAGAAGCACTTTGGAAGAAAGGCCTAGAATCTACTTCAGAAAGATGAACAGCCTTGAAAACCCTATGGAGTGCAGTTCTACTCTGCACACACAGGGTTGCCATGACTTTAAGTCAACTCAACAGCAATTGGTTTGGCTTTGTTTCTTCCTTCCTTCCTTTGTTTTTTGGTTAAAAGCCACCTATCATGTCCTTGAACAAATTTATATTGTCATGTTTAGTTGTTTGATCCAAACTTGAAGGAATCAGGAGGAATCAGTGACATGCAATGAAATGAAACCAATTTGAACACATTTGATAGATTATGGGAAATCGTTCTGAAATGCAAACGTAATCTTTCTCTCAGCTTACAGTGGACATGAATGGCTAAATTCTGCCTCAAGTTACATAAACACACTTGACCAAAAAAAAAAAAAAAAAAATGCTCAGGCTATGCAGCAAGAAGAAGAACACCCCTGAAGAAACAGAGCCAAATTCTGAGATGGCATGTAATTATATACTAGTTACCAGATTCTGAAATAGCATGGAATATGCCAAATAGCTGTTTATTTCCTCTTGTTTTCTCTAAAGGGTCCCACCCAGCCACTGAAAGAAGTAGCTTCAAAATAACTCAGGGTGAGTTTAACCCTCCTCTCCTGCTGCTAGCACACAGACCTGTAAAGGCACTGCCAATTCAGTGCATTCCAACCCTAGAGTGTATTTTAGGACCGAGCAGGAATAGTTTATACACAAGGTTTTGAAGGGCTCAATTTGAGCCAGTTCATTAAAGAAGAGTCAAGCACAGGAAGGAAAATGTGGCAAACATACAGGATTGGGAGTCATCTCTCATTATTAGGCTTTACACTATTTGTGCACCCTGAAATGGGAAATCCCTGGTGTCCCAAACAGGTCACCAGACTGATTTTCTGTGTGCCTGCTCTGGAGACAATTTCAAACAAGTATTTCCAAACACAAGCCAGGTGGCAGAGGCATCTTCGTGAAAACCAGAGGGATTCCCTGAGTGACCGGTTCAGATGTTTTCGTTCTTATTTGTTTTATCAAAATTCCCTCGATTTTATGGTCTCCTCATATGTGGATTGGCAAGTGATGGGAGGAAACTGCTGCTTCCATCTCCAGCCCCACAGCTAAGCTGCATTATACAGGTGAAATGGGGTTACTGAGAGAGGTCTGGTTTCCTTGGTGACCCGGGAGGCTTGGTTATATCTGCAATTGCTAAGAAGAAGAGAAACCTGAAAACGCAAGACTGTGTCTTCCTTAGGCAGGGAGCACTTCCCAATTCTCAACCAAGGCTGGGGACATGCCTCCTTGATTGGTAGAGGGTTGACCTCCTCCGGGCAAGTGGGATGAGTGACACTCTCTACTTGTTCCCAGAATCCCACAACCCAGTTTGGCGAGTCTGTCCTATGCCAGCTCTGAGTAATTGCATCATGGTTCCTGGCCTCCCTGTCTGTTTTGTTTTCGCATGTAAACACTGTAACTAGGGTGACGAATAGTTAGCTTATTGTAGAATGTGCTAACCACCTTTCTTCAGGCAGGGATGACAACGGGAGGGCATGTTATTTTATAACAGGTAGGTGGACCCAGTTTAACTCCTTAATGTCGCTTCTCTTGATAGCTAGCTTGTCAGATTTAAGCCCCGATGTCATTTGTTGACCAAAGGCTGTGTGCCAAGCACTGTGCTAAATACTTTAACAATTTTATCTCATTTCAAGGATCCCTGGTGGTGCAGTGGTTAAGCACTCGACTGCTAACCCAAAGGTCGGCGGTTCGAATCCACCAGCCGATCCATGGGAGAAAGATGTGGCAATATGCTTCTGTAAAGATTACAGCTTTGGAAACCCTATGGGGTAGCTCTACTCTGTCCTATAGGGTCACTATGAGTTGGAATTGACTTGATGGCAATGAGTTTTTATCTCATTTCATTTTCACGACAATATTATGAGGTGAGTACTATCATTATTCCCATTTTACAGATGGGAAACTGAGGCTCAGAGAGCTGAAGTAGCTTTCTTATGGTCACACAGCTAGAAAGTGGGGTTTGGAATTTTAGAAAATGATTGCTGCTTATCATATACTAATTATGTATTCTGAATTCTCTCATACTACTGTAAGAGAAGGTGGAAGATGGTTCTTGCTTCCCGCAATTACCTGATATTCAGAGTCCTCCTTATGCTGAATGTCCCGCAGATATTGAGCATCACTGACGAACTTTTGCCTTTCCTTTGCTTCATGCAACATGATTCTTAATCGTCAACCTGCATATACAAGATATATAAATGTGTTGTGGTATAATCCTTTATTGCTTTGCCATCTTTAGATTTATCTTCACATAATTGCTTTGTCTCCCCCACCCTCCCCCTTATTAATCTAATTTCTGTTGTTTGAAAGGCACAGATGCGCCTTCCAGGTTAAAGGGATGCCTTGTGTTGGTGGTGATGCCCTTACAGCCCTCCTGTTCCAGGCATAAATAATGCAGCTAAGCTCATCAGGTGGCTTCAGTGATCCTGTCCTGCTTATTCTTGCAGAGTTAGGTTGACAGATACCTGATGCAAAAGCAATTCTATAACGTGACAAAAAAGAAAACCTAAGAACCTAGCTAAATTAGCAATGACCAAAGTTACAAGCCCTTGGTTATTTAAATTCATTTATTCAACAATTATTGCATCCTATTTTCAATCCAGGCACTGTGCTAGGCACTGGGGTATAGCAGTCAGCAAGAGAGACAGGGCCCCTGCCCTTGCGTTGCTTACAATTGGGGTGGAAGACTGACACTGAATAAATGAACCCTCACTGTGATAAATGCTATGGAGCAGAAGCATGAGGTTCTTTGAGAGAGTGTTATTATGGGAGGGCATAACCTGGTCTGGAAGGGGCAGGCAAAGGTTTCCTTAAAAAATGACACTGAGTTTGATAAGGAGTGAGCTAGGCAATCCATCATGGTTAAAAGTGTGGGTTAAGACAGCATCTCGGACAAAGAGGACAGCAGGTGCAGAGGCTTAGGGCAGGGAAGAGCTGTTGCAGATGAGGAACAGGAGGGCCAGTGCAGCTGGAGCACAGAGACAGGGGGAGACTAGCACCTGAAGGGCTGGAGGGTAGGCAGGACCAAAGGTCATGATTCTAAGAGCCATGTGAAACCATAGAAAGGTTCCAGTCTGAGGATTAAATGCTTAGGTTTGTGTTTTTAATAGGTTCCGCCAGTTGGATTATGGAGAATAGGTGGGGGGAGAAGTGAGTAAAAATGGAAGTGGCAAGACTATTGGGAATATATTATAGTAATCCAGATGAGAGAAAATGGTGATCAGACTTGGGTAGCAACAGTGGAGAAATGAAGAAGAGGAGGATCTACTGCACTATGGAAGTGTCAGGTGCTGTTCCAAGCATTTACACATATTAACTCATTCAATCTTCACAACAACTCTATGAGGCAGGTGTTATAATTATCTATTTTACAGATAAGGAAACTGAGGCACAAAAGGATTAAGTAAACTTGCCTAAGGTTATAGAGCTAGTAAGTGGAAGAGTTGGGACCTGAACCCAGAGAATCTCACGCCAGTGCCCACACGCTTAACCATGATGGATTTCAGGGATAAGCAGAAGAAAACATCATTAGGACTTGGTGATTATGTGGATGGGGAGGAAGAGGGAATCACTGAGGGAGATGCCCAAGTTACTGGTTTGAGCAGCTACCTGGTCAGTGCCAACATTCACTTCAGGAAATTCGAAAGGAGGAACAGCTTTGTGAGAAAATAACATGGAGTTTGAAGTGTCTGGGTTACAACAAATGGAGATGTCAAGTAAGCAGTTAGACATAGGGTTCTGGAGCTTATTAGAGAGGTAAAGATTTGGGCATCACTGGCGTCTTGGTGAACAGTTGAAGGTATGAGGGAGCTTACCTGGACAAAATGGGTATTGAACAGAGAAGAGGACCCAGGACAAAACTCTGAGGAACACTAAAATTTTAGGAACAGGTAGTTAAGGAGAAACCTTGCAAAGGAGCCTGAGGAGGAGGAGCCAGAGAAGCAGGAGGAAAACCAGGTGGGTACAGTTTCATAGATGCTGAAAAGACTGTTTCAAGAAGGATGTTATTATTAACCTTGGTGAAGAGCATTTAGTGGAGTGATGGGCTGAAGACAGATAGCAGTGGGTTTTCTAAATGGGAAATGAAATGAGGAAGTGGAGACAATACTTTCAAGTTTGGCTCTGATGGGTGCGGCCTAAATTTATGATCAAATATTTAAGGTCACAAAATATTTTAAATGGTGCTATTAATAAAGAGATTGCTAGACCCTATCTATATTGTCATTAAAGTTCCCACAGTATTCCTGCTTATTGCCTTGTGAAACTCTTTCATTCATTTCAACACATCATGTTTTAATGACAACTGGGTGGCAGATGCTGCTCTAGGCTCTGGGGAACAGAGCAACAGAGATGACAGACAATGACCCTACCCTCAGGTGTATACATTCTGGGGCTTTCCTTCCGTCCTCCAGCTTACTCAGTAGTGTAGATATTGGCAGAATCAGGTTACCTCTGACTGGAGGAGTGAACTCTCATGATAACACAGTGTTTGGCCTGGTAGTTATAAAATCTTCCAAGATTCAAGGTCTAGCCCTGAACAACAGGGAAAACTTGTGCTAGGCCCTCAGGGGTTATTTTCAGTCAAGTATAGAAAGTTGCCACCACTTGTCTGTCAGTTTATCGTACTGTGGTAGCTTGCATGTTGCTGTGATGTTGGAAATTATGCCACCGGTATTTCAAACACCAGCAGGGTCACTCATGGTGGATAGGTTTCAGCGGAGTTTCCAGACTATGACTTCCAGACCAGGAAGAAGGACACGGTGGTCTACTTCTAAAAAAACTGGCCAGTGAAAACTTTATAAATAGCAGTGGAACATTGTCTGATATAGTGCCGGAAGATCAGCCCCTCAGGTTAGAAGGCACTCAAAAGATGACTGGGGAAGAGCTGCCTCCTCAAAGTAGAGTTGACCTTAATGATGTGGATGGAGTTAAGCTTTCGGGACCTACATTTGCTGATGTAGCACGACTCAAAATGAGAAGAAACAGCTGCAAACGTCTGTTAATAATCGGAACATGGACTGTACAAAGTATGAATTTAGAAAAATTGGAAGTTGTCAAGAATGAAACGGAATGTATAAAGACTGATATCTGAGGCATTAGTGAGCTGAAATGGACTGGTATTGGCCATTTTGAATTGGACAATCATACAGTCTACTATGCCAGTAATGACAAATTGAAGAGGAATGGTGTCACATTCATATTCAAACAGAATATTTCCAGATCTATCTTGAAGTACAATGCAGTCAGTGATAGGACAATATCCATATGCCTACAAGGAAAACCAGTTAATATGAATATTATTCAAATTTATGCACCAACCACTAATGCAAAAGATGAAGAAATTGAAGATTTTTACCAATTTCTGCAGTCTGAAATTGACTGAACATGCAATCAAGATGCATTGATAATTATTGGTGACTAGAATGCAAAAGTTGTAAACAAAGAAGGATCAGTGGTTGGAAAATATGGCCTTGGCGATAGAAAAGACACCACAGATTGAATGAAAGAATTTTGCAAGAAAAATGACTTATTCTTTGCAAACACTTTTGTTTCAAAAACATAAACGGTGACTATACACGCAGATCTCACTGGATGGAATACACAGGAATCAAATCGACCACATTTGTGGAAAGAGACATGGAGAAGCTCAATATCATCAGTCAGAACAAGTATAGGGGCCGACTGCAGAGAAGACCATCAATTGCTCATATGCAAGTTCAAGTTGAAGCTGAAGAAAATTAGAACAAATCCACGAGAGCCAAAGTATGAACTTCAGTATATCCCGCCTGAATTTAGAGACCATCTCAAGAATAGATTTGACGTATAGAACATTAATGACCAAAGACCAGACTAGTTGTGGGATGACATCAAGGACATCATACATGAAGAAAGAAAAAGATCATTTAAAAGACAGGAAAGAAAGAAAAGACCAAAATGGATGTCAGAAGAGACAATGAAACCTGCTCTTGAATGTAGAGCAGCTAAAGTGAATAGAAGAAATGATGATGTAAAAGAGCTGAAGAGAAGATTTCACAGGGCAGCTCAAGAAGAGAAAGTAGACTATTATAATGAAACATGTGAAGACCTGAAGTTAGAAAACCAAACGGGCAGAAAATGCCTGGCATTTCTCAAGCCGGAAGAATTAAAGAAAAAAATTCAAGCCTCCAGTTGCAATATTGAAGGATTCTAAGATGGAAGGGATACAAAGAGTCACTGTACCAAAAAGAATTGGTTGACATTCAGCCATTTCAGGAGGTAGTATATGATTAAGAATCGATGGTATTGAAGGAAGAAGTCCAAGCTACACTGAAGACATCGGTGACCAGGGCTCCAGTGAAAAACAAGGCTCCAGGAACCGACGGAATACCAATAGAGATGTTTCAACAAACAGATGCAGCGCTGGAAGTGCTCGCTTGTCTATGCCAAGAAATTTGGAAGATAGCTACCTGGACAACTGACTGGAAGAGCCCCACATGTGTGCCCATCCTAAAGAAACATGATCCAACAGAATGTGGAAATTATCGAACAAAACATTAATATCACACACCAAGTAAAATTTTGCTGAAGATAATTCAAAAACGGTTGCAGCAGTACATTGACAGGGAACTGCCAGAAATTTAAGCCAGACTCAGAAGAGGACTTAGAATGGGGGATATCATTGCTGATGTCAGATGGACCTTGGCTGAAAGCAGAGAATACCAGAAAGATGTTTACTTGTGTTTGATTGACTATAAGAAAGCATTTGACTGTGTGGATCATAACAAATTATGGACAACATTGTGAAAAATGAGAATTCCAGAACACTTCATTATACTCCTGAGGAGCCTGTACACTGACCAAGAGGCAGTCGTTCGAACAGATACTGCATGGTTTAAAGTCAAGAAAGGTATGTGTCAGGGTTGTATCCGTTCACCATACTTATTCAATCTGTATGCTGAGCAAATAATCCGAGAAACTGGACTATATGAGGAGGAACACGACATTAGGCCTGGAGGAAGACTCATTAACAACCTGCAACATGCAGATGACACAACCTTTCTTGCTGAAAGTGAAGAAGATTTGAAGTACCTACTGATGAAGATCAAAGACTACAGCCTTCAGTATAGCTTACACCTCAACATAAAGAAAACAAAAATCCTCACAACTGGACCAATAAGCAA